ACAATGGTCCAGACAATGTGCTTTTTTGAAGAATTCAGTCTGTTTTGGGAATCTGACTCCAAAGATCAGATGGGGAGCTATGTTTAAGGTAAATGAGTAATTATTTTAACTAGCCTTCAAGACAATGTTGCATGAAATACCTGTCTAATGTTTGTAATCAAACTGTCACCCCTTTGCTATATAGAAAATTAGGAATCTTGAAGAAAGAGGTTCTCAGAGGAGCTTGACCTCAGGCCTTGAGTCAGCCTTTTTGGAAACTAAGTAGTTCCTCCACTGTGGCTTTGTCCTGCACTAAAAGTATATGTGAAGACACCCTAAAACTGAGGCACTTGGCCTAACTAAAATGGCTGACACAAGGTCTGGCTCAGACTCCATTTTGTCTTAGGCTCCACCTCTGTTTCTGAGAAAGTCACCCATGACAGTTAATAGGTAAACCAGGGAGCGACAGGTTGCCCTTGGGAAGAATGCATAGTATGTTTCAAATATATTAACGGAAGACCTCCAGCAAGAAGAGTCCATCGTGTTTGTCTTGTTAATCGTGTATTCGCTAATGGAAACTTGGTTGCCATGTGTAAATTTTTCTATTCCCTACAGACAAACTTTGTGTGATATGGTGTATTCAACTATACTAGATGAGATGATCCCTTTCCAACTGACAGTGAGTTTGCATGGGAAATCTCTTGTTTAGATTCCTGGCGAATGCATGGACAGTGCACTTTGGGAACTTTAGAATGACCTTTAGGTGTTCATAGTAATGATGGTAAATATTAGGAAAGGTAATGTTAAATTGCTATACATTATAAAACGAAAGTCAGAAGAAAACCCATTGGTCCAACACTCAGGGTGAGTCTGGTCATTTCTAAGAGATTTACTTTCTATTTACGGTATAGTTGAACTGGAGAAATCTTTAAGAAATTGATCAATCACTATGGGAAAAACAGCAGACGAAGCTGTTAATGGGATGGAAACACAAAAGTCATCTCTGACTTCGTTAGCCAAGGTGCAACGAGATAACAGAATAGCCATAGATTTTTTATTAGCCCAAGAAGGTGGAGTGTGTGCTGTAGCAAATACCTGTTGCTGCATTTGGATCAATAACACAGAAGAAGTAGAACAGGGTATACATAGAATCAGAGAGAGAGCTACTTGGTTACACACTACAATACCCCAGAAACACCGAATTTCTTTGTTTGATTACCATCAGGAATAAGGACATGGACTAGAACACTATTGAAATGAATATTAGTATTCTTAGTCTTCAACCTGATAATATTAGGCATAATAAAACTTATTTTCTATTGTCTTACACAAGAAAAGAGAAAAAAGAAAGCCTCAGGCTAAAATGTAGATTTACATTGACTCTGCTCATTTCTGCAATGTGATTGATGAGAATATCACTCTTACTTAAGATCCTGGTGAAGAACCAGTTGGCATCCAGTGGAAAACCAGTACAGTGAGTTTAAAGAGGCTGCCATGGCTGCCATCTAGAGGCCCAAATAAGTCCAGGCATTGATCATCAATGTGATGTCTCCAGTATCTAATCAAAAGGAGGGAGTAGTTTAGGAGATTAAACTGTAGCTATTATTCCCTGTTCTTGAGTGTAAAGAATGTGACCCAGTTGGAGCTATACTCAAAAGGACTCAACCGGAGACATCAACTCAGCCCTCAGGTATAATAACAATAGCTAGGAATATCTTGGAAAACAGAAAGAAAACAAAAATCCTCATAGAACCCACAAGCAACATCATGATAAAAGGAGAAAAGACTGGAGTTGTCAAAGATTTCATTTCATTTGGATCCACAATCAACACCCAGGGAAGCAGCAGTCAAGAAATGAAACAACGCATTGCGTTGGGCAAATCTGCTGCAAAAGACCTCTTTAAAGTGTTGGAAAGCAAAGTCATCACCTTGAAGACTAAAATGTGCCTGGTCCAAGCCATGATGTTTTCAATTGCCTCTTATGCATGTGAAAGCTGTACAATGAACAAGGAAGAACGAAGAAGTGACGCCTTTGAAATGAGTTGTTACTGAGAAATATTGAATATACTATGGACTGCCAAAAGAACAAACCAGTCTGTCTTGGAAGGAGTACAACCAGAATGCTCCTTAGAAGAAAGGATGGTGAGACTACGTCTCACATACTTTGGACATATTATCAGGAGAGACCAGTCCCTGAAGGACATCATGCTTGGTAAAGTTGAGGGTCAGTGAAAAAGAGGAGGAGCTTCAATGAGATGGATTGACACAGTGGCTGCAAGAATGGGCTCCGAACGATTGTGAGGATGGAGCAGGACTGGACAGTGTTTCGTTCTGCTGTACATAGGGTCGCTATGAGTTGGAACTGACTAGACAGCACCTATTAACTGATGATGTTAATATATGTTAATATATTCTGATGATTCTGTAAGGTTCCTCAGACTCAGGCAGGCATGACACTGGTAGCATGCTTGTCCATTTTCCACTTTTGCCTCTTTAAACAATAAAATTCTGAATAAAATCTTTTTGCTTCCTTATCACTTTGTGGTGATTCTACCATAGGATATGTATGAGGAAATTTCCTGGGGGAAACTCTGAATCTCTGATATTTGGAGATAGTTGTCCAGACCCTCATTTTGCATATTTGTAATCTAATTAGTTGTACGGTGCCAAGTAGGTCCCTGAGTGGTGTACACTGTTTGCCTTTGGCTAATAATGGAAAGGTTGTGGGTTTGAACCCACCACCTGTAGCACTGCAGAAGGCATGGCAATCTGCTTCCATAAAGATTACAGCCAAAAATACCTTGTGGATCTCATTTCTACTCTGACACACAGAGAGCACCAAGCAGTGTCTGACAGGCTGTTGGTGTGTCTGGGAGACCTGTGAAGCAGAGATTTAACCTACAATACAGGAATTCAACCTGCAATATCTAAGTGTATTTGCTCTTGAGTAGGTGAGGAGAGAAAGAGCTTTATTTACACCTTCATCTTACCTGCTGACCCCCATTAAACTGTACCAGGGTCTGAGTATTAAAGTCAGTCCAGTTACAATACCGAGTGTTGGAAAAGCCATGGACATTCAGGATCTTTTACGTTGCTTATGGTGTTGTAATAAGTAAAAGCACTTTGAAAAAGTATGTCCCCACTTCACAAACATCTTTCCAGAGAAAATCTCTCCTTCATACATACGAGGTGGCATGTACAAGTATGTTCATATCAGCAAACACCCAGCGACAACCAAGAAAAGAGGGTGAATAAACAGGCTTCTCCACATCTTGGAACATTATTTTGGCCCGATAAGAGTTCCTGGGTGGTGAAAATAGTAAAAGTAGGAATAGTTGGAGGTTGGAGTCTGTCCTCAGAAGGCCTGGCAATCTAATTCCAAAAACTGGCCAATGATAACCCTAGGGAGCATAGTTCTACTGATATACATGGGGTTGCCATGAGTCAGAATGGACTCCAGGGTGACTGTTGTTTGTTTGTTTGTTTGTTTGTTTTAATTGCAGCCAGATAGTCTTCTGCTCTAGGGCCACAGAGGGAGAAATCAGAGAAATGTCACAATTTACTCTGCAGAACAGCCCTTCCTTCCATGACTTGGGCCCCTTCTCCATGGCACAGTCTAGGTTCCCAAGGGAATTGAGCCCCAAATATTCTAGCTGAAACTAGCTCACTGATGTATCCCAAATAACCTACCAGTACGTGCGCCTTTGCTCCAGCTCCGCATGAAACCCTTCTTTTTCTCCAAACTGCCCTCTCAAACCAGTTCTGGAAAGTAACCACGCTTGTCCCCCATCATCTTTCAATGACATAAATAGAAAAAACTACTTGGATTTTCTGGCATCTATAATTGCATTCTAACATTTCAGTCACCAATCATATAATCATCTTCAGGTTCACTTTGGTTATTAACATAAATTTACAAAACCATAGTATTATAAGGGTCCCCCTTGAGCAACTCAGACCTACTTATGAGTTTCCATCTCTGTTGTCCACTTTTTCAGGCTTCCTGTGATTGCACCAAAGTCAAAGCATGTGGCAGGACAGGTGAGCTGGCATGGAAAACCTCACTGGATCACATTAGGAAACTGTAACAGTGAGCAGCAGAGGTGGGAATCCAATGGAAGAAGGAAGGAAAAAAGCAGATACAGGCCAGGACATTCACACTCGACCAAGGCAGTAGAGAAGGCATTCAGGTGGGAAAGCTGACAGGAGCCAGAGAGCCTCCAGGCCAGTGAGACCGCAGAGTCTAGGCTTCTTCCAGAAATTGCACCCAAGTACTGACAAGCTACCCTCCTCTTTGTAGACAGAATATCTTTAACTATGGTGAATAGGATGTGTCCTTCTTCCAATATTCAAAGGTTTCCACATCTGAGAATTTTTTTTAGGGGTGTTTTTGTTATCCAGCACCGCTATAACAGAAATACAACAAGTGGATAGCTTTAACAATCAAATTTATTCTCTTAGAGTCTAGAAGGCTAGAAGCCTGAATTCAGGGCACAAGCTCCTGGGGGAAGACTTTCTCACTCTGTCAGTTCTGGGGGAAGATCCTTGTCATCAGTTTCCCCTGGACTAGGACCTTCTCAGCACAAGGGAAAAAAGAAACAAACCCTCACTGGACCACTGCGAGCTGGTGTTTGTCTCCTCAGTGGTGGTAGTGGTGGAGGGTTGGGACTCATTGCCTTCTCATGTGAGGCACATTCCTTCATGTATTCAACAGATATTTATTGGTCATTTGGAATGTGTCAGCCACTTTTGTGGGCACTTGTGATGCATCCAAGGAAATTACATGACATGTTCTAGGTAAATAATAACATAGGGGGAAATATATCTATCTACCTACCTACCTATCTAAATCTATCTATCTAAATCTATCTATCTATCTATCTACCTACCTATCTAAATCTATCTAAATCTATCTATCTATCATCTATCTATCTATCTATCTATCTATCTATCATCTATCTATCAATCTATCATCTATCTATCTATCTATCTATCTATCATCTATCTATCTATCTATCTATCTATAACGGTGGTTCAGTATATAACGGTGGTTCAGTAGCTTAGGAAGCTTCTATTCTGTCAGGAGACCCTTTAAGGGTAATTTTCTGGTGAGTCTTCACATGGCGGTGATAGGTGGATGACTGGCGGTAGCTTCTCTTGCAAATGGAACACATATAGGGCTTCTCTCCCGTGTGGATTCTCTCATGAGCCCGTAAATTGGTTCTGTGGCTGAAGGCCTTGTCACATGTGTTGCAGGGGAAGGGCTTCTCCCTCCTGTGAATCACCTCGTGCACCCGCAGGTCTGTCATCTGGAAGAAGCCTTTGTGGCACTCAGCACAAGTAAATGGTCTCTCGTTCCTGTGTCTTCTCTGGTGGGCTTCTAACTGAGAAAAATACTTAAAGATCTTGGGACAGTCCTCACATCTGTATGGTTTTGGGGTTTCATGAAATCTTTCTTGGTATCCCCCACGTGGAGATTTTCCCTCACTGCTCTGGCGGGCAGGGGCAGACTCAGAGGTGGCCAGGTCTGGTCTGGAGATAAACCTTGGTTCCACTTCCATAGGGACATCTTGATGAGAGAGTCCTCGCAGGGTCTCTTCCTGGGACTTGGAGGTGCCTAGCCCTGCTCTTCTAGAGCTTTCCAGGTTCTCCCAATAAGGACAAGTCTCTTCAGGTTTGGGACAATTCTCTTGCTGGATAAACTGTAGGGAAGGTATTTGATTGTCCCCACTAGTAATATCATTTACTTGTGTCATTTTCAAGGAAAGGTTGTTGCTGTCTTCTTTATCTTGGCCTCCTGTGAAAATAAAGGAACGACTCCATGAAGTTGCAGCCCTGACAGGCCCGCACAGAACATTTTCCTGGTATCCATATTCCCTCACTCACCTGTTTGGGTGGGATGATCTTTGGAAGGCTGGAAGGGGGTCCCCACGTTCTCTCCTCTTGGGTTCCCTGCTGACAACTGTTTTGTGAGGTGAACAATGACGTCTCTTAAGGGCATATTCTCAGAAAAGAGGGCTTCCTGTCCCTGCATGCAGACGTGGACCTGTAAACAAACACCGGACACTGTCATATGGATGTCTGTTGCGTGACACCAGTCATTGTGGGAAATCTATTCTTGTCAGGTTTCTGCAGGATCCCTCAATTTGGGGTGTCCACACTTCCCTGTCCTCTCCTTATCACTGACGGTGTGAAATTTCACAATCATTGCCTCTTTGGAATGTCTTCTCTGATTAATAAAAATGACAAGAAGGATCCCTGAGGGAAGAACTAGTTCTTGTTAAGGCATTTCTTCCACATCCTTGAGTTATCTGTGCAAATGTCAATCTCCCAGAGAGCTCTCCTACCACCTCTGGAGTCAAAATTAAATAATTAGATCAATGAATGAGTCAATATGTTTGCCTCCTATAAATCCCACAGAGTAAACAGATATAAAGACTTTCTGCTTCATTCTCGCTAACTTAGGAGGAGGTGATGTTCCTTGGTGAGGACGAGTGGTGGAAAAGTGTGATCTGACTAATAATTGTTTCTACAATAACTCTTCTTTCTCTCCTTCCAGGCAACTCCACCCTCCTGTACCTGCTCCTCACTCCCCTCTGCCTTGAGGTCAGAACCCCTATACTCACATACGCAGGTGGCTCCATGAAATCATCTGTCAGGTCTTCCAGGAAGTCCTCCAGGTTTCTGCAACTTGAACCCCATTTCTCTTTCAAAGTGGACCTGTTTTTGTGGGGCTCATTCATCATGAACTGCTCCAGGACCAATTGGGAAATCATTTCCTCCTTGCTGTGTTTCTCTGGCTGCAGCTACAAGTGAAATAACTTCTGGAGTCTTTGCAGTTCCTGCCTTGCATATGAGTTATTGCTGTACTGAAATATGCTCAAAGGAGTGTCCTGGAACCCAGAGATCCCCTCTGCCTTCTGGACACCAGTTCCTTGGGTGGGTTCAGACTCTCCATTTTCTAACCAGGGATCATTCCTGGATGGTTCACGTCGGAAAGATATTCTGAGATCTAAAGCCATGATTGGCAAGATTTCTCAGAGATTCAACTTGGAGGACTCAGTCTCTGCTGGCTTGTAAGTCTGGGGACTTGGCAACAACTGGTGGACACTTAAAGGCTGCAAGGTAGAAATAGAAGAGATATATAATTAATGAAAGCACTGACATAGTTAAATCCAAAATAAGAAAAATTTCTGGCCCAGATGGCTTCATGGGTAAATTTCAAACTTTCAAGACTGAACTCTACTCTTACACAAAATGTTCCAGATCATGGACAAAGAGGGAATACTCTCAATTTTAGGCAGAGAAGCCAGCAACTGCCATTTCACACCTCATGTCAGCCTCACTGGAGCCCTGGTAGTGCAGTGGTTAAGAGCTTGGCTGCTAACCGAAAGTCAGCAGTTCGAGACCACCAGCGGCTCCTGGGAAACCCTAAAGGGAAGTTCTACTCTGCCCTATAGGGTTGTTATGAGTCGGAAACAAATCGACGAAAACGGGTTTTGTAAGCCTCACTTTACTATCAGGTTATCCTCACCAATCCCATGAATAAGAGAGGCAAAGGTGAATCCAGAAAAACCCCATAGGAGAAAACAGAACACAGACTTGCCTTTTCCTAATCCATTTATCTCAAAGCTTCCCGAGAACCTTATAAAACGCTAATCTGCATTACGAATTCACTTTACTCTCCATAGTGCCTCCCACTGTGGTGAAGTGATTAAGCGTTCCATTGCTTACAGAAGGACAGAGGTTCTAATCCACCAGCTTCTCCGAGGGAGGAAGATATGACAGTCTGCTGCGGTAAGAATTGCAGCCTAGGAAACCCTATGGGACAGTTCTACTCTGTCCTATAGTTCGCTATAAGTTGGTATTGGCTCCACGGCAAAGAGTTTTTACGTCCTGGTCTTTCTCCCTATGAGCCTGTCATCTTTATGCGAGCAGACGGCTGCGTCTTTCTCCTTAGGAGCTGCTGGTGAGTTCGTACCGCCCACGTCTTGGTTAGCAGCCCAGTGCTTAATTGTTATACCACCAGGACTCATTCATGCGTAAGACCTTGGATTTCAAAGTCAGGCTGCCTGGGATCTAATCCAGAGCTGGCGTCTAGAGGCTGCGTTACCGCAGCCATGTTACACATCAGGTCCCCATCTGTATCTCGGGGATTCCAAAGGCATCCTCTTCCCAGAGTTGTTGCTCAGGCAGCTAAATGACTTAATAAACAGGAAGCAGGTAGAGCTGTCGCTGGCTTATGTTAAGTGCTCAAAAAAGGTCTAGTCAATAGCTTACGTTGTTGTTGCTGTTGTTAGGTGCCGTCGAGTGGATTCTAATTCATGGCAACCCCGTGTGTGCAGAGTAGAACTGCTCCATGGGGTTTTCAAGGCTTTGACCTTTCAGAAGATTGCCAGGCCAGTTTTCTGAGGCACCTCTGGGTAGGTTCGAACTGCCAACCTTTCTACTACAAGCAAGCACTTAATCATTTGCACTACCCAGGGAATCCCTAAGTAGGTTATATTCACCCTTTACATTTCACCACCAATGAACTTTGCTTTCATTCAGGCCAGGCATTTACAGAGTCCACAACATCGAGCACCTTTGAGCCAGAGCAGTTGTCAGCATATGCCCTAGAGACCCCCATATCTTTGTACCTAGGAATTCTCTCCACATACAAAATGTAAAGACCCATTGTCCTGGAGTTCATTTCGACCCATCCACATAGCTAGGCCCACATACACATACAGACACATGCATACAAAACTGGAAATTTTCCCTTAATCCTGGAAACTCACCTCCTTCTTGGTTGAACCTTCAAACTTTGTCCTCCTGGGCTGAACGCTGAGCTGAGTGACTGGCTTTCTGCGAAGAGTGCATCTGATATACCTCCCCAGAGCTCCTGCCTTTTATAGGAAGAGGGTGGGACTCAGTGATGTAGTTAAATTGACGTAATAAAGATATGATTGGATGAAACTCACCAATTGATTGAATTACTGATGAAATCGTCACCAGAACCATAATTCTAGAACTCCAGGATTCCAATACGTTATTGTACTACATCCCTGGGTCTGGGGTCATAGACCGTAATCAAAGATTGATATTTCTGCAGTGGAATGTAACAACATTCACAATATGGGTGATTATTGAGATTATCGTTAATGTTGTTAGTTGCTGTTGAGTGTATTCTGTTTCATGGAGACCTTGTGCATGCAGAGTAGAACTGGGCTGCATAAGATTTTCAAGACTGTGACCTTTTAGAATTAGATCACCAGGCCTGTCTTCCGAGGTCCCTGTGGATGGGTTCCAACCTCCAACCTTTTGGCTAGCAGTTGAGCAATTAACAATTTGTGCCACCCAGGGACTCCTCCCAAACATTTAATTGATCCTTATTACACAAATGCTATGAGATGGGCTTGTCAGAGATCAGGCATTAGATACATTAGATACATTCCTTATTCACTTTCTCTGCTTCATTATTCTCCTTAGTATTTATCATCGTCTGACAAGCTCTATATTCTACTATTTGTCTTGTTTTATTTTCTGTAATACCCTCCCTCATAGCGTTTACCCTACACATGGGCAGCCGTTTTGCCTCTTCTGTTCCCCACTCTATCCCCAGTGCTGAACACTTGCCTGGCACTTATCAGGTGCTCGTGAATTGCATCAGATTGAAATAAATGTTTCATGTAGAAGAAGGTGGGGCCTAAGCAGCAATGGGAGGGGAGGATGATGATGCACCCCAGAAGGTTTTGTGGAGTAGAAACCTCAAGACAGTTTCAGGGTCCTGCCAAGAAGATCCCAGAAAGAGCTGCTTGCTATGCCCTGAAATCACCATATAGAAATTATAAGTTAGAGGTGAACACAGAAGCCAAAATAAAAAAACAAACCAAAACCCGTTGCTATCAAGTCGATTCCAACTCATAACGACCCTGTAGGGCTGAGTAGAACTGCTCCATAGGGTTTCCAAGGAGCGGCTGCTGGATTGGAACTGCTGACCATTCGGTTAGCAGCCTTTGCTCTTAACCACTACGCCACCAGGGCTTCAACATGGAAGCCAGCAAGTAGCAAAATCCTGTGAGAAAACGCTGGGGAAAAGGAGGACCATCTTACACTTGTCTGGATTAGAGTGTGTTGTGGATTGAATTGTGTTCCCCAAAAAAATATGTGTTGTAAATTTGAATTCCTATATCTGTGGATAAGGAGCCTTGGTGGTACAATGATTAAGACCTGGTGATCTGCTCCCGTAAAGACTACAGCTTAGAAAACCCTATGGGGCAGTTCTATTCTGTTGCACGGGGTGGCTATGAGTCAGAGTCAACTCCACAGCACACAAGAAGGACATACCTGTGGGATGGAATCCCATTTGGGAATAGGGCTCTGTTATGTTGATGAAGCCCTATCATGTAAAGTGTGTTTTAAACCAATCACTGTTGAGATATAAAAACAGCAGCATCTACCAGAAGCAAGGAAGCTGACACAGGTGGAAGACCAACATTATCTAAAGATGATGAAGGTGGCCCAGTCTACAAGGCCAGGAACGCCAAAAGATGGCTGGATAGAGAAGCTGAGACCAGTATTTTCCCCCAGAGATGACAGAGAAAGGGCTTTCCCCAGTGCCGGTGCCCTGAATTTAGACTTCTAGCCTCCTAAACTGTGAAAAAATAAATTCCTGTTCTTTGAAACTGCCCATTAGTGTTATTTCGGTTGCAGCAACACTAGGAGACTAAGACAGGGCCCAAGGCCACAGCAAGGGGAGGGGTTAGAGAAAAGCAGTTTAATTTACCTTCTCAGGTACCTTGGGACAGCCAGAGAGTTTACTTTTGCAGTGAGGAAAATGTTTTGGAACTTGTTCAAGGTGGTGGCTCTACAACATTGTGAATGGACCAAATGCTACTGGATTGTGCCCTTAAATGGTTAGTTTTATATTACACAAATTTCACCTCATTAAAAGCAAATTTAAGGCAGGCACACTGCAATACCATTTGATACGTTGTAAAATCCCCCTCAAGCGACTTTTCCCCATTCATTTTATCTTCACCAGCAGTGCCTGTGGTCCACACACCTGGGATCCGTAGACGATGTGTGTTGTGCAGACCTAAGGGTGATGCCTAGCTTCTCTTGTTCCTTCAGCTCCACACATTTTATATTGCAGCCCATTAGTTACAATTCTTACACACTGGCTGGTTAATCCTCTCCACTGATGGTTTTAGAGCCAAGAAAACATGGTTTACTAATTTCACATAAATTTGTTGGGCCATCCATTCTAGGGCAGTTTGCACTCGGTCTCCATTTTTCCCAATTAGGACTATGTAATCAGTGTAATAAGGAGCCCTGGTGGCAGGCTAATGAAACGGTTGGCAGATGGAAACCACCCAGTGTCTCTGCTGGAGAACAACCTGGTGATCTGCTTCCATAAAGAATAAAAAGAACAAAACATAAACTTGTTGCCATTGAGTCGATTCTGACTCTGTCTAGAAAATCCTATGGGACAGTTCTACTCTGTCACATGAGGTCGCTGTGAGTCAGAACTGACTTGATGGCTTACAACAACAATCAAAGTAATGGCACCAAGACAACTCTAATGTGATCTCAACATTCTCTAAGCCTCAGATTTTCCACTGGTGGCAAATTGTACAAAGTGTAGGGAAGTACAGCTAGCTCATAGCAGCACAACGAAGCCTATAAGAGTGTATTGTAACTTAAAGCACATGATGACAAATAGATCTGCATTCTCTGGGTACAGTGGAATTCTAAAATAAATAAATAAATAAATGCATCCCTGATATCGATTTCATATTTCATGCTTTCATTTTGTTTTTGCTCCATCATTTGTGTTCTTTATTATTCCCATTATATTTTATAATTAATATTTCCTTTACTTTTTGCTGTATTATATAATTAGTGTTGTCACTGTTAGTTGCCATGGAGTTGATCCCGAGTCATAGTGACCCCATGTGTTGCAGAGTAGAACTGCTCCATACGGTTTTCAACGCTATGCCCTTTTGGAAGCAGATCTCTAGGCTTGTCTTCCAAGGTG